CTCTCCTGTTTCATGCACAAATTAGGCTTCCATGCACACAGGCACAGAGGCACAGCAGCACATAGACGTTTGGAACTCGTACACAAGACAGGATTTGTACCCACACACGTACACACATTTTGTAACAGGCTCCAAACTCCCTTCTTGTCGTCCAACTTGCACAATGCTCGTTTGCCCATTTGAAGCCTAAATGGCACAGTAAGGGAAAAATGAACCCCAAGACACCCCGTTGTAATGGAGCTGAAAGAACAGCTTAATTGGCCAACATAAGCCATGCCCAGGAATTAACTGTGAAATTTACATGTTGGCTTTTTCTAGTCTTTCTTTTAAAGGTCCCTGTGGTGTTCATGTGGAACACATGAATTACATCTCCGACACTTCATGAATATCGATTTGGCTGCTGTTGCTGTGCAAGAGGTTATGGAAAACAGTATTATTCAAAACATGATGAGTGGGATACATCTGCAATTAGTCGGTTGTTAGTTGATGGAACTAATGTGTTATTAGTTAAATTAGTTAAAACTGTTTTCAGTAATTCACTTATCCTTTTATACACAACCTTGTTCTGTGACAAGAATCCCGGACATTAAAATAAACAATAATTTAGAAATATTGTGGATATGTCGGTACTTGTTTCCGCGATCCCGTGACAACTAATCTGAGGTTATGGTACATTGCTCTTATCAGATTATCAGACTCCAAGCAGAAGGGAGTTGTCCACATGATTTAGCTCTATTCACAGCAATACAGGAGGGTAATAGGCCAGTTATACCTCTGGGTCAAGATAGGCTGACCTTTGGTCAGCCCTGGATTTGACCTCCCGACTGATCATCGATTGACCATCATCTGACCCCATGGCTTGATAACAGAGCTGCATATGAGTGCATTTGGCAGTCTGGAGAACATCTCTAGCACACACTGATAATACAGTTACCCGAGTGTTATTGGGAGATGTATGAAACGGGAAACAGCCCGGGAAGGCAGGGTTATTCCTGTGTCAGAGGAAGAAAAGCACAGATAATGCAATTACTGGCTAGGGGATATGAGCATATGTCAGTTTATTCATTCTTATACTACTCAAGTTCTGTTGTTACTGCAATAACCACAATTTAAGCCCAGGTTGGTATTCTGACATCTATGAACCTTTACACCCTTTGTTTATCATGTTTTATCAATTTACATTACAAAGGGCCTTTTCTGCTTTGTATGACATTTTTTTGAAACTCAACCTTGCACGATCTTTCTAGATTTGCTGAGTGCTAGACCAGATTCTGCTATCTCTCCTCAGCATCTTGCCTCTCTTCTACCCCCATCCCTCCTCCATTTCTCCCTTATCCCCTAAATTGCTGTTCCCTAACTGGCTGATAACAATTTCAGCCCAGCAGCCAAAACACCCATCCCTATCCCCACCCCTTGCTAAGAAAAATCAAATAGCAACCTAGTGACTGACTGCTAATAAAATTAGCGGCATTTCTCATAAACCTTAATAAGACTGGACTCGATAAAGGATGCCGATGAGGGCAGGAGACAGCAATGGGATTCAGAAGAAAAGGGAGGGGGATATATTATTCATCTCAAAAATCACACAGCGGTGCCAACTGGGGTGTTGATTGTCATAAATATTCTTGGACCTTCAATTTTTACCCACATGCCCCACCCCCACCTCACCCTGCAAGATCATCTCACCTCCTCTGACTGCATCTATGTGCCAACAACATCACCCTCAGTCCTCTCTCTCTGTGTCTGTCTCTTTTCTCACACACAGCAGGGGGATGGTTGGCCCAAGAACGTGGCATCATTAACTTTCTTGAGTGGCAGACGTTAGACGTACAGAGGGCTGGCCTGTCCCACCCCCTGCTGGGTGTCCCTCTACTCCCATCACTCCTTGCTGTCATCCTTCTTGCTTCTTCTCCCCCAAACAGCCATCCACACATTTCATACACTTGATGCTCAGTCAAGGGTGAATGAGAGGATACATATCCAATTTCAACGTCATGGGAGTTTATACAGTATGTATTCATGTATATGTATGGTGTTGGTGGTAAATTTGTCTACATTCATTCTACAAGTGTCTGACTTTTTAACTGCTGTGACTCATTATAAAAATGTGGACAGTCCACTACTATACAGTGTCAAGCGTTTTTGTTGTTACCACCAGTGTGGCACGTGCTGATGAGCTCCCTGTGGCGCAACGCCCTGTCTCATTAATCAGAAGCCCTGTGCTGGAGCCCTGACAACCCACAACCTGGTGGCCTACCACCTCCCCTCATGTATACTGGGAGGGCTCTACACCATTATCTTCTCACAGGAAAAAGAAAACACAGCAGTGACAGCTGGCAGTGGTCATTTCAACCTGCCCCCTTTTATAATTGAAAATCCTCATTTCACATATCCCCCACCAAGCTTTTTGGCTTTCTCTCGTCTCAGGTTCACAAGTTTTGAATCGCTGGGGCAAAGGTCAGTGGATTTCCCAGGTCGTCACGGCAACTCTCAACAAGATCAGATGTCAAGAGAGTTGGCTGACCATGATGAAGGCAAGCAGAGAGCTCTGCTTGGCCGACCACTTCCTTCTGGAGAGCAGAGGAAGATGGGCAGAAGGAGAGACCAGTCTTTTTGCTAAGCATACTCTCTCCCTCTTCCTTGGCTTCGGTTTGTGTCTGGAGTGATGAGGGTTGTGGCAGAGGGATATTTAGGCTTTCATGGCGGAGTGTTTAGGGCTTGATGGGGTCCAAGTCAAGCTTGTACTGTGGGGTGCTGGGGCTCAGAGCGGTGGCATGGTCTAGATGTGTCATGAGCATGTAGCTGAGCTGTCACTTGTCTCTAATTGGCTTAGATCAGCCGACGAGAGGCTCAAAGCTCACTGACCTACCCTCTCTCTCGTTCTCTGTCTCTCTCTCTCTCTCTCTCTCTTTATACTTCTCTCATTAGCTTTTGTCTCTCTGCCAACCTATGACAATGGTCTCCACATGGTTCTTTCCATTGGGTCGTTCCAGCAGGCCTGTCATTCTCTGCCTGCATATATGTCCTTTTGTGGGATGGGGGGGTTCACAAGGAGCAAGCCACTAGAGTGATGAGAAAGGATGCATGGGGCAGCTTGATCTAATCCTGATTGGACACCTGATTGATCTGGGCCCCAGGGTCATCACAGGGTCAATACACGGACTGGTGATAACATGGTTCACTTTAGGGAATAAACGCGGAACATTCACATGCCATTACATCTCCAAACAACAATTCATATTATTCGTATCCACCATTACAGTAAAATATGTATTCTAGTGCCTCATTTACCAGTGCTGCAATCAGTCAGCCATTCTGAATCTGCCAGAATCTGCCAGAACTGCCCCTCCTTGGGCAGTGTAGGATTTACGATGTGCTACAAGGGTTCAGGGAATGACCCTCTAGTGTACATCCCTGATTATGTTCTAATTGGATGGGGTGACCTTTCTTCACTGTACTTTTCAAGCGTATTTGGTCCTTGGGGGTGGGAACAGATTAAAAAGCAGCAGGGGTGGGCTGATCGATGTGTGCTGTGGTTGCTATGGCTGTGGATGGACAGTGACAGGCAGAGGGACAGCAGCATATGAGTCCACAGCTGTTGAATGGGAAGGGATGTACAGACTGATAAATGGGTGCTGGCCACAGCCAGGTTGACTGATTGCTACATTCTGGTACATCATCCCTTGTAATGTCTGGAAAACTTATGTGATTGAGTGCTGGGGAAGGTGAATTGTTTGGTTTTTGTATGCATTATTGTTGGACAATTATTTTCCAACCAGCCAACACCAGCCCAACAACCGGCGATTGCAGATGTATTCACACGTGTATAGTTGTGTGGGCCCCAGTATTTTATTTTTTATTTTTGCTTTGCATTCATGTAAGGCACTGACACAGTGCACACAAAGCTTCCAGTATTTATTTATTTATTTATTTGTGTCAATATGAAATACGCTTTGCTTTTCTTTGTAGCCCGAATGAGTTGAAGTGTGGTGAATGGGTTTTTTTGGTGCATTGACTGGTGGATCCTATTTTGACGGAGTATGAAGCTGGAACTAATTCCTGCATATTTATTTGGCTTGGTTTAAGCAAGCTAAGCACTAACCCTACTTAATATTCCAGGGCATGCTAAAAGGAACAGCCTATTGGTAATAGCAAAACAGCCTCATACAGCCTTTGGAAGATTGTGAGTGGAAACATTCCAGAGCCTCCAAATGTCAAAATAATTTATTTGCTTGCAAATGAACAAATTTAAGGAGCTAGGATTTACTTTTTCAGCTGACTATTGTTATTTTATGTCATTTAGCCTCCAGCTAATATCTGAAAGCCGTTCTAAAATGCTGAGAGGAAATAATCCAGTCAATAACAAATACTGCTATAGTATTGAAAGTGTCTGTTAACTGGATACATCAGCTTGTTTTAATTGTTGTCAAAACATTTCCTTCTTCAGTTCAGTTTTATCTCTCAAAGATGGGCGGCCTTGCTATAAATTGCTTGTCGGGTCTGAGTGTGTCTGTGTATGTACTGTACAGTCTGTGTACTATAGTGTGTACTATAGTATGCACTCCTTGCATGATCGATTTTTCCTCTGCTCTGGTCAGGTTAACTTTATAAACACAGGTCTTTGTGCACCTCTCATTGATATCGTCAACCAAACACCCAACCTCAGTTTGACACCCTTTATCTATATTCTCCCTTCATCCCGTCCAACCTGGACAGAAAAAAGGCAAAAAGATAAAAGAGCATAAGGAGGAAAGAGAGCCTCATCCCCTTCCCCCAGCCATCTCCAACAAGCTCGAGGTGCTTTGTTGTGGACTGCATCTGAAAAGATCGGCTTTAACAACCTAAGCAAATATGAATGAAAAGGCTTGTGAAGGGAGGGCATTGAACCGTCTGTGGAACAGGTGTGTTTTATTACACGCTATTTCTTCCTTGATCTCTAATGCTCTACAGTCACACATTGTGTGTGTGTGTATGTGTTTGTTTATGTGTGTGTTTCTTAGTGGCTGAAGCTCCACTGTAGCGGTGAGCCAGCCCCAGCAGGAGGGCCGCAGTCAACCCTGTGCCATGTGAGAGCTGCAGGGAGTGGGCTAACGAGGTGTCCAGGCAGCTGACTGCTTTGTCCTGCCGCCTGTGAGTGGCGATGGCACAAAGAGTGTCCTGCAGAGAGTCCTGTCTGTTCTTTGTGTCTGCCTTTCTCCACTGCCCAGCACTTTGGAACACAAAAGGAAGGCGTGCGAGGCAGCATTGTGGCATCAGGTGGATGAGGCCTTGTGCCTGTCGCCCATTTACCTCCTCCCCATCCGTCTCTTCTCCAGACCATAAAAAAAGCTTATACTTGAGTCTTGGATGGCTTTGAATTTGTGTCTCATGCAGTTTGTGTATTCCTGTGCTATTTTCACCGAAGCTTTGGCCAATAACTATCATTTTATTAGATTCTCCATCCACTTTCTTGTTCCATCTTGCCTTTCTTTTCTTTCCTCTCCTTTTCACATCATGCTGAAGTGACTGATGATCCAGAGGGCAGGCAGTTCTCTGTCATATGTTTGCTGCTTGTATTTGCTCAGTCTCCCATCTTCCTCTCTTTGCTCTCCTTTCTAATTTATGAACTGCTACACTTGAGTGGGCCTAGCGCCTATTAAAACCAGCATAGCGCCTGTGTTTGTCCTGGCCTTTCCTGCTCCACAGGAAGCTCATCTAGAGCCCCCACTAGTTAATGTCACTGCAGAGGGTGAGCAAGAAACATGGACACCTCTGTGGATCCTCTGCCCACTGGAGGGAGAGGTTTGATGCTTCTTTTAAAAGGCCAAAGTCATTTGTCTTTGTTGTTTTCTGTCTCCCAGGGATTGTTTTGAGCGAGACAGACAGCGAGAGAGATAAAGAGTGAAAGGGAGTAAGAGCAAGCAAGAAAACATGCATTTCTCACATGAATCTTTTTGTAGATGGTGTGAATGTTTCTCGTGTGAGCCATTGTACTGAAAGGTGTACTTTGCTTTACTTTCTATTCACTGTTTCTCTTAAACAACAGCTGTGCATTGTCTCATCGTCACAGTGAAACATTAGATACAAAATCTGAACAAATTCAGCATTGATGTATTTAATATTTTTAAACTGTTCAACTTTCTTTAGTGCTATTAATCAAACTTTGCCAACACCATAGAGTATGTGTGTAAAGCCCTGGAAATCTCCATCAATATTTAATCATTTCGACAGCAGGTCTGAATAACGGTCTTAGGATTTATGGTACCTCAGAACAAATACTCTGAGCTTTGATCCTTCAACCTGTGTGTTATTGTCTTCTCCTATGGCCCGAGAAGCTGTGATTGCTCTGTTGAGTCAGCATCATGAGCCGAATAATCATGTGGAAGCCAGGCATGCTCCAGTCATGTAGAAGCAGACACCAGCTCTAACAACGAATCCCCACCATAGGCATCAAACAATATATTCACATCAGCAGCACAGCATCACTGAACTGTTTTATATGTGAATACCACTTGCTGAGCTCAACCGCAGTGTTTCTATATTGTTATAGTAATCAGATTTAGATCAGAGAAACACAGGGGCAGATAGCCAAGCGAGAACCACAAGAATCACAGAAAGGTTAGAGTGGAATCCCACAGGACTACAAATCCCTTCTCATTGTTTGGAAACCATGAAACCGGATTCCTGTAACAAGTCTCTGATCAGTGGAGCCTCGGCCCAAAGGACTCAATTAGACCAGAACGGCCTTTTCTGACCAGGCCTTTACTTTGCCTCTTTCCTTCTCCCAGCATGCTGCTACCACTGCAGTGGAGCTGTCTAATGCCCCAGACTGGGATCCCGGCCACACAGCACTCTGTGCAATCACATCACTCAGCCTTTGCCCTTGTTATTACACACCAACAGCTTGAATCCACACCAGGATGTGTGTATGCATCTGTGTGTTTCTTCCCAGTAAACCTGTGTCACTCCCCTTGACTTAGTGTTTTAATTGGCAGCACGAGTACGGTAAACGTATATTTAAAACACTGGCAGAAAATAGCAGTTACTGAAACATCCCTGCAGTCAGAGACAGTAATGCAGTATTTAATTTCAGTAATTTTGCCCTCCTTCACTTATGATTAGAGTGAATTATGATAATTTCTTGATTATGGTTTGGCCCCTGCCTGTGAGCCTGACAACACTCCTTGTCTGAGCTCAACAGAAGATGGCAATTGGGAGCATGTGCAACCCACTGGATCTTTCTTGGAGATGCCATAAACACAAGCTGTACTTCGTTCTGCATGTTTACCTTCAACTTGCCCTGCAGTTGCTGTCGCACACGGTGGCTATGTGGCAGGTATTTTTTAATTCAAATCAGTGTTTGCAGAAATATTTAACTCTTTTTCTATGGTTCAACATCTGAGTTGTGTAAGTAATCTCTAAAAGGTTTGATGAAAGAGGTAGACGAAAGATAAGAAACAGAACATCAGAAACAACCAAGAAACAGCTAGGCTGATGTTATGGGTGTGTGAATTAATATGCGTATGATAATGAGTTAGTGTATGTGTGAGAGAGAAAGAAGCATCAGCATTCTGGTCAGCAATCCCCGTTACTTGGCTTCCATTGTCTTGAAACCCCATACCACACCACGGATTCACATTCAATCAGCAATTCAATCAGTGATTCTGATAATACAAGCTGGGTCATCCACATTGCTTTCTTCACGCGAAAGTCAATTAGAGGTTCATTTAAAAAGCAAAATTAGTTGTTATAGATTTAATAAGTGACCTGAGTTGTGGTGGACTGGGCAGAGCCTGGGAGATAGTGGTTAGAGGCCCGTGGGGAAATGAGGGTCTCCTCTCTAAAGCCCACTGGTAATGACTTCTGTTTAGTCTTGATAATGTCTACTAATTAGTTAATCAAAGACAATGGCCTTCTACATACACCTACCACCATAGCAGCTTCTGTCTGCTTCAGTGAACAACAGCTCAGAGTGTAGAGGCTTGAAATCCCCATTCACTCTCATCCCTGGCGGACACACCTGGTTGGTTTTGGTGTATGCCTGTAGAAAGATGTACAACACATTAACTTGCTGAATTAATGTTAATGGGGGCATGGGCAAATAATTATGCAATGATCTGTGTTAGAAAACATGTAGGGGGATAATGAAATATTACAAAAATAATACAATTCATCTAATGTGAGGTGTCCACGCTGGTCAGAAGGTCGATATAAAGACCCTCTGGACTGAACAGGCTGGAAAACCAGAGCATTGACAAAGTGTCTCGGCACCCCTTGGAGCTGCCATCATTGGGTGAGTAATACTCTGTTTTCTCCATAATCAATTAGTAAGCCTTCATTAGCTAGCCCATTCATTATGTTGGTGTGTCAGGAACGGGACATAGTGCAGTGGTCGCCCCTGGGATGGGCACGTCAGTGGGTGCTGATACATGACGAGGCCCTCACAATCGCTCTTACATCTAAAGAGGACACAGCCATTCTGTTGCACAGCAAATCAAGCATTACTCAGTGTGGCCAAAGCAACATTACTTTGTAGAGCCAGCCAAGTATGAGCATTATTCATTTTAGTTGCACAGCTAAGTAAATATTATTTACTGCTCTTACACAACTAAATATTCATTACACTGAATTGTTAAAACCATTTGAGCTCGATTATTTTTCATGTACAAAGGCTATTCTCAACATGGCTGTTTATATATTATATATATTTGGGAGCTGAATGCAAACAGAACATGTTTGGGGGTTCTTAAGATGAGAAAGTACAGGCAGCCCTGCTGTTGGCTTTTAACTTGAACTACATAGTAAGATATCCTAAACATATCCCAATTACTCTGGTTTCTCACAGCCCTTGTGAATTTTACAGTAGCTTCTGAGCTGCACTAGGAATCATTAATGTCAAACAGATGTTAGACACATTCCCTGGTGCACCACCTCTCATCACTTGAGTCTGTACCATTGCAGCATCAACTGCTCTGCCTGTTTGGATGTATATTTAATAGAAACAGAATTGATTTTTCAACATACACACACACACATATATATATATATATATATAGTGTGTGTGTGTGTGTGTGTTGGTGTGTTAGCGTTTGGGTGTGGGCAGTGTTATAGATGCCCAAAGCACAGTGTGAGCCATCTCTCCGTGGGTAATGGCCTGTGCTACAGAATTATGATGAGGGGCAGACAGAGATTAAAAGAGTAAGATATTGAATGGACTTATGATGGATGAGAGCTGTTTGGGAATCAATTAAACAATAAGGAATTAATTCTGCCAGCGACATGCTCATTAGGGATTTGGTGAAAGGAAGGCAAGGGAGAAAAAGAAATGTGTCTCTGCTATATTTTATTAATTTCATCCGTGCATGTTTTTATTATTTCTCTTGTAATCATTCACACTGTTGGAGCATATTGACATAATTCACTAGCAGCAACAGTTTTGTTTTAGCACATACAAAACATATGCTAGCAACACTGAACCTGATGATATGTACTGTACTGTTTGACAAAAGGTATGTTTGCATACTGCCACTCTCCAGATTTCCCCTTAAGTTTATGATATTGCTGACCTTGTTTAAATGACACAGCTAAAAGCTTTTTTCCTTCTCCCACTGAAAAGAAGCTTTTATCAACCTTGAACTCTACAGTGTGGTTGCATCTTTGTGTTGCCCGTTGCAGCTAGATTTGGCAGAGCAGAGAAACAGAGAAAAGTCAACTATTTATGGGAGCAGCTCGTATCAAAGGGCCGCTGAGCGCTGCAGATACACAAGCCAACAGATGTGAGTAACAGCTGCCATGTTGAGTGTCAACCTTCTCTGTGCTGTCAGTCTCCATTTGCCCTGTGCACAAGTAAATAATGTGTTGTCTTAATTCATTTGCCTCCGCTTGCAACAGCTGGTGCGTAATGGATTCTAATATTAAACATGATCCCGTTCCAGTGTGCAATTAGTGTGGAGCTCCACCTATTAACACTTATATATTAATGACATTTTCCAGAGTTTGCTGAATGGTGGTTGTGGGCCTAGTCATTATAGGAGTGGGGTAGACCAATTGGCAGGCATCAGCGGTTGGGGACCCATCAGTCTGCCTGCCAGTGGAGCCACTATGGAACTTCTCTGCTACTGTGGCGGTAGCAGAAACCCAACCCCCTACTCATGGGAAGGCTATCCTGATGCGCTGGCTCAGGGGGTAAGCACACAGACGGACAGGCAGGGCTAGTTGCCAATCTGGGCCAGACCCACTCAGTGCGAAGTCTGTGTGTGCAAATGTCTGCTTGGGGGGTTTGATGTGGATGGACTGCTAAGTGGAAGTTGAGAGGATGGTGTAGGGGTGTGGCTGCTAAGTGAGAGTGGTCCAGGGTGCACTCTGTACAGATGGGGGGATGGAACGTTTGCTTGCCGAACAGATGTTTTAGGGGTGTATGTTTGTCTAGGGGGTGTGACATGGTCAGTGAAGGGAAGTCAGGGGACTATAGAGAGGACATTTCTTGTTGAGCCTTCTGCTCTTCCGAGGGTGC